GCCAAAAATGATTTCCCCGAGGCTTATCTCATATTTCAAAAGGCGCTACACTTGGACTCCGGCAATACGATGATATTAAACAATATGGGCGTATGCTTGCTGTATGCTGGCAAACTGAAAGACGCAATTAATTTRTATGAACGTGCAATCAATTTAAATCCACAAAAGTCATTGAATGAAAGTTTACTAGTGAATTTATCAACATTGTATGAATTGGAATCGAATAATTCCAAGGCGAAAAAGTTGAATTTGCTACGTTTGATAAACAGATATAAGCCGGATCTCAATATAAGTGTAGAAATTTGCCTTAAATTGCAGGCAACAAATTAGTTACAAATATATGTATATGTAAATACTGTTGGTAAACATTCCACAACTCCATCCAGAATGAATAAAATTCAACCTGAAAWTGTACAGTATTTCAAAGATACCACATATTGTATTCATAAATTGATATTACGTGCTGGTATTTTAATTACTGTATCAAGTCATCAACTTATCGATATTTGAGAATGTCAACAGTCGAAAGTTTAATGTACAGACAATTAAGCTCAAAATATAATCTGAATAATTTATTTATTTTTTTTTTCAAGTTATAATTATCATTTAGCCAAACTTTAACAGCTCATGTTTACTTTTAATACATTTGCGATGTGTTCTTCCACCAGTTATTACARCACTTACCAGGTCTGGTCACACTTAGCTGGTGAAGTATCTTTGGAAGAAGAGTTTTTCAGGAATTTATTTATAAAACATAAATAATCGTATCAAATAATTACGTACATACGTTATAAATGTTTGGAAACACGTTGTTGGTGTTTTGTATAATAGGATAGTTGAAAATAGGTGAGTTTAGTGGCATTTAAACGCGATTGAAATATGACCATACGAAACAGCAGCAAGCAGCAGCAAGGCGTAGTTTATATTGATGTGGTTGAAAAGAAAGTGTAGAGAAATTTTCGGTGCAGTCACAATGTTGTTTATAAATCTATACAAACGACAAATGCCGAATGGTATGCATGCGCGCCAAAAATGTTGTGTAGCGCCAAGCAATAAACAAAAATAAAATATCAATTTTATGAAATTTTTCTTTTATATATAGCTGCAATTAGTGTGTTCTGTGTTTTGATGGAAAAAGCGCGCCATTATTTCAGTGCCTGGCATGACGTAGCCATGAAACCGCAGAGTAGCACTTGAATGTTGTTAGTGCATTTTTTTTTTTTTCATAAGTCATCGGAATTGTTTATGGCAAGTAATGCAATCGTTATTAGTGTGTGTGTGTGAGCCTGTGCGTGTATGTGAATTGCAGCAACAAAGTTGCCTGCAAATAATTTTTTGTATATTTTTATTTGTGCGGTGCGCATACGCTAGGTACACGCTCGTCAAAACATACACAAGCAGGCAGAAAATCTCTATTCTTTTGCAATTTGTTTTGATTTCTCATTCGTGCCTGTCGTAATGGCTCTCCCTCTCGCTGTCGCTCTCACTTGGCCGTTCTCTCGCTCTCCCTCTCTGTCTCTCTCGCTCTCTCGTAGTTTGTTGCTCACAAGAAAACATGCGCGTCGCTCTCGTTTTATAGCACAAGCAAAAGCTCCAGTTGATTGGTGGAGTTTATTAGGGGAATGCGTGCTTACGCTCACTAGTAACGGCATATTTATACTAATGTATATGTGTACGCATCTATGCGTCATATTTATGACGATCCTGCTGCTCGGCCACTTGCGCGTACTCTCCGGCTTGCGTTGCTGCTTCGCTGAGTGTTTCTTGCCGACTAGTTTCCGTTAAGCTGGAGCCCAAGTATTTCAATGCTTGCCAGACTAGCAGCTGCAGGCGCTCTCACATCTGATACACGCGCGCACGCTCTCGCTCTCTCCCTCTCRCGATTGAAAAACGTAAACAAGAGCTGTAAATAATGTTAAGGTGTGTGTGCGTGTTTCTTTTTATTTTGGTTTTGCAGAGCTCAAATGGCTGCGAACAACAGCAACATGCACAATTTGGGAGCGCTGCAGGTGCCGCCGTCGGTGATCGCCTCCACCGGCTCAGTGGGCTCCATGATGCAGCCGAGCACCAGTGCTCAGAGTGCCTGGGATCASTTGACGGCGAGTGCCTCTAATAATATGACACCGTCGCCTACATCGTCGACGGCAACAACAACGGCAGCAGCCGCGTCTACATCGGACGCAGCTGGACACATGATGAGCGCTGGTAGCTCACCGGTGCCCAGCTGCTCGTCACCATCGACGCCGACAAAATCACATCATGCGCCACCCACGCTGGAGGCAATGGCTCACACGCCGCAGGGCCCACCCACTCTCGGACCTGGTGGCTATGGAGAGGAGTTGACAGGCGAACTWGTTAATCAGGGGTGGCGYAAGTTCTGGTCAAARCGTGAGAATCGACCGTACTACTGGAACAAGGTCACTGGCGAATCGCTGTGGGAAATGCCAGGCGCACGTCCCTTTGATCCACTTACGGATCCGTTGGGCATCTGCCATGGTGGTGTTGGCGGTGTTGGTGGCCCAACGCCCATGACGCCTCATCAGCAGCAACATCATCATTTGAAGCGTCGACCCTCGGATGACATGCACATACACCCGCACCCGCACCATCAACAGCTGCAGCAGCACCCCATGGGTCCGCATGGCGGGCCTCCCATGAAGAAGTTTGTGCTGGCTGGTCCCTGGGATCTGGAGGTGTGCACCAATGCAGTGATTGTTGAGCGCCCACCCACGTTACTGCCGCAGCCGCACCCAGAGATCGAGGCTTTACGCGCTGCTTTTACCATGAAGCTGCTCAAGACATATGAGGATCTTTGCATGCGCAGGGAGAACATCAAGGCGCCGCGGGACTCCTTCAATCGCTGGCTCATGGAACGAAAGGTCATAGACACCGGCTGCGATCCGTTGCTGCCCAGCAACTGCGTGCCTGAAATCTCCAGTTCCATGTATCGGGAGATTATGGCCGATATACCCATCAAGA